TGCAGGTATATCTCCTAAAAAAACCGTAAACGTGAATATTTTTTCGCAGTTTATTTAGACAGTGAGCATAAATCAGTTAAATGACGGATATTTAAGCAGGGGTATTTTGCACGCGAAATCGCTCACAGGGAGAGATGCACTTAAATGTTAATCTTTAGAAGAGCTTTTTCGGACATATTTTCGTGAGCAAAATCGGATAGTTATCTAAATTGCACGTGAAACAAGTTGGCCGTACGCTGGACGTTTTCCTTTCCTCCTCTACTTTGTCGTCTACAACATGCTCAGATGTTTGATTAGTTTATTAGGTGCGCAATTTACGCGCCAGGACCATGACCAAATGATGGGTGAGGCTCTCTAGGGGTTTTACGGTCTGGTAGCTAGTTTTTCTCCCTCAACCCCTTTCGGTTATCGGGCAGCGGCTGCGTGGTTTTCTAAAGTTAATGGCCATATGGACTTAGTGCTTGAGGGTTCCTTGGGCTACTTGAAGTCCAACAGCTAGTCTGGAAATATCACGCTTTTAGGATGAATCATTCCGTCGTATAGATGTACTTAACTCAGCAGTAAAACGTCTTCATTTTCCAAAAGGCTGTGCGCACTATAAATGTAAACCTTGCCTTGGAGTTGCCGAATTTTTCGCGTAGAAGCGGCTCTGTTATTGTGGTTTTATATATAGATGGCGTGCCTTTAATATAAGGAAACATGTGATATTCGGTGAGAAAACTTTATCCCTGGCAATTCAGCAATGAAAACTTGCAGTCTAGCGCATGTGAATGCCTTGAAGTTGATTATACATATGCGAAACAAAACAAAAGTAGGTTTCAGGACGATATTAGAAAAGAACTAGAGCATAGGTTTCTTAGCTAAGCATTTAGTTTGATGTTCATGCGAAATGTCTAACATAATTTTATCTGTTTTGAAGGTCATTTGTGATATTATTTTCAATTTAAAATCACTTATCCCCCACGGGCATTTTTGAATATATATTAACAAAGGTGAGGATACGAAGTCCCGATAAATTATCCCATTCATCATCCCCCAAAGCAGATGAAGCAGAAAACAAGACGCTGCCATGGCACAATCACAGTGTGGTCCATGACAGCACCTTCTTTTCTGCTTTGGGGAATTATGAACGGGATGTATATATATATTACGTGTTTCAAATGATTTCTCCGCCACTGCCTAGCTGGAATATGCAGAAATTTCTGCCACGACCCTCGTCCTGCTAATCTTCGATTTCGACCGGTTCTCCAAACATGATCAAATCGGGCAGATCAAGATCCCTCTTGGTTCCATCGACCTCTGCCAGACCTTGGAAGAGTGGCGTCAGATTGACCCCGTAGAGTCTGATACTGATCGCGTATGTCCTTATATTTTCCATCGTCGTACTACTTATCCCTTAAGACGGATCCTATGATGACGAATGACTTCAGTGCACCGGCACGCAAGAGGTTATTTGAAAATTGTTGCGTATTTACAATTTTTCAGACCGCTGGTGTACAGGAACAAAACTGCTTGCTCCTTCCGTCCACTACCAGTGTTCAGTAACTTAGAATCCTTCAATTTTTAAGACCAAATTCACTGAGCGATGTCGACATTAATTGCCCAGTTATGTTTGCCATATAGTGCACAGTACAATACAATATTTAGATCGGAGTTTCCTTAAAGGTT